GCCAGCCTGGTCTCCACAGAGAATCAAGGCCAGCTAGGGCTACAGAGAGACCCTGCTTCAAAAAGACCAAAAAAAAAAAAAACTTTTTTGGAAACAAGGTCTCACAATGTATCCCTGGCTGACCTAGAATTTGTTATATAGACCAGGTTGGCCTTGAACTCACAGAGATCTGCCCTATGCCACCATGCCCATCTTTAAAAAAGGGTTTTTTTAATTATGTGAGGGCTAGAGAGATGGCTCCATGGCTAAGAGAACTTGCTGCTCTTTCAGAGGACCCAAATCAGGTGGCCCGCAACTTCCTGTAACTCCAGCCTCAGGGGATCTGATACTCTCTTCTGGCACCCATGGGCCCCAGCACACACGGCATACACGCAAATAAAATTTTTAAAAATAGGTAAACTAATGTGAATGTAGTCTCTGTGTCTCTCTCTCATATCTTTTCCCCCCTTGGGAGAGGAGTTTGAGACAGGGTCTCACTCTGTAGCCCAAGCTGGCCTAAAATTTTCAATCATCCTATGTCTGCCTCCTAGAGCACTGGGATTACAGCTGTATGCTCCCACACTCAGGTTCTCAAAAAATATCATACTATTCTCTATCCACCCTTCTCATTGACCACATGGGTAAGTGAAAATTCAGAGAACAGAAAGTGAAACCTCAAAAAGTAAAAGCACAGGTAAGAGGCCCTACCTACTACAGTATATCCAAGGTCTGACACTGTCTCAGGTAGTCACTGAGGACCTTGACACTATAGGGAGATTGCTTTAAATGCTAAGGATATACTGAGGACACACTTACATGGGGCCCTTCCAATAATGAAAACCTTAATCTGTCTGGTGTGATAGCTCAGGCTATCTGTAATTCCAGCACTTGGGAAGTTGAGGCAGGAGGGCTACCAAGAGTTTGAGGCCAATCTGGCTATATAAGTAAGTTACAGGCCAGCCTGAGCTACAGTGAGACCTGTCTCAAAAAAACAAAATGGAACCAAAACCAGTACTAGTGATATATAACTGTAATCCCCAGACACTATCTCAACAAAGAAAAAGAAAAATCATAATCTAATCATGAAAAGACACCAGACAATGCAAATTCAGAAATAGTATCCAAAATAATTGTCTAGACTCTTCAAAAAGCATCAAGGACATAAAAGATTGAGAAACTGTCACAGATCAGAGGAGAATGCAAAGATATGAAAACTAAATATGCTGTATAATCCTGGCCAGGACAATGAAATAGGAAAAAATAAATAAACAAAAACTATAAAAATTGTTGAAATCCTAATAGTTCTGTGCTTTAGTTAACAGTACTGTATGAAAGGCTGGGCATGGTTGCACATTCCTAGAACTCAGGAGGCAGAGGCAGGCAGATCTCTGTAAGTTCCAGGTCAGCCAGTGCTATATAGTGAAACCCTGTCTCAAAAACACAAAAACAGCAGGGAGTGGTGGCACATGCCTTTAATCCCAGCACTGGGGAGGCAAAAGCAGGTGGACCTCTGGGAGTTCAAAGCCAGCCCAGTCTACATACCAAGTTCTAGGCTAGCTGGGGCTACAGGGAGACCCTGTCTCAAAAAAAAGACCACAAAAACCCTACAAAAACAGGGTTTGGAAAGATGACTAAGTGGTAAAGAACACTGACTGCTCTTGCAAAAGACTCCCACATCTTTATATTCCAGCATCAGGGAGGCAAAGGCAGGCAGACTGAGTATCAAGGCCATCCTGGTCTCCATAGCAAGTTTGAGGCCAGCTGGGGCTATAGGGAGACCCTGTCTCAAAAAAACAAAACAAAAGGTTAGAGTGGAGAGATGGCTCAGAGGTTAAGAACACTGACTGCTCTTGCAGAGGACCTGGGTTTCAGCCCTAGCACCCACATGGCAGCTAACAACAGTCTGTAATTCCAGTTCCAGGGATCTGAAGCCCTGTTTTCTTCTGGCCTCTTGGTCATTGCATCCAAGGGTACACTTATATACATTCAGGCAAAACACTCATACATATAAAAATTGAGTAAATAAGTAACAGTACTGTGTGAGGATGAATTTCTTAGTTTGACAAATGGTCTATGGCTCTGTAACAGGTTAACATAGGTAAGTTAAATGAGAAATACAAATACAAATTATATATCTATACTTTTTTTATATATTTAAATTTGAAGCAGGATCTGGTTATGTAGCCTTGCAGTCAGATAGGCCAGGAATTTGTGATCCTCTTGGCTGTCTCCCAAGTGCGATTATTATAGGTACATACTGGCCACCTAATTATATTATTTTTACAGTTTTTCCATTAACCTAAGGTTACCTCAATTTTTAAAATATCAACTGCAACTGGGATACACTGGCATACACCTGTAATCCCAATACTTGGGAGGTGGAAAATCAGAGGTTCAAAGTCATTCTCAGGTACACTGTGAGTCTGGGGAATGAGGGATTGGTTTGTTTGATTAGGTGTGTAAGACAGGATCTCACTATGCGGCCCAGGTTGGCCTTGAACTGACAGAGATCTGCCTACCTGTTTCCTGAGTGCTGGGTTTAAAAGCAAGCACCACAACAACTGATCCAAGGGAATTTGAGGCCAGCCTAGGCTACATGAGAACCCGTCTTAAACTTTTCTTAAGGGGGGTACTGGAAATGCAGTTCTGTTGGTAGCACCATAATAAAAATACAATGAACGGAAGGCAGAGACAAGCAGATCTCTGTGAGATCAAGGACAGCCTGGTCTACATAGCAAGTTCTAGACCAGCTGGGGCTACCAGATCTGTCTCAAAAAGACAAAAAAAAAAAAGTGTTGAGAAGGATATATAACTTACTGGTAGAACATGTATGAGGCCTTAGGTTCAATCCCCAGCACCACAAAAAAAAGTAAATATTGTATCCTGGGCATTCATGATGCTGCTTGAAGATTTCTATTGCTATAGTTTCTATTCACTATATCTAACCAAAATTCTGCTTTATATTAACTTCATACACTCAGTAATCTTAGTTTAAGAGGCCCAAGAGATAATATAATCCAGCAGTTTTCAAAGAACTGTCCCACACCAGTAGTATCAGTGTCTGTAAGAAACTAGAAATAGCCAGGCATGGTGGTACACACCTTTTTAATCCCAGCACTCAGAGGCAGAGGCCAGCAGGTCTGAGTACAAGGCTAGCCTGATCTACATAATGAGTTCTAGGTCAGTCAAGACTATATAGTGAAACCCTGCTGAAAGGAAGGAAGGAATGGAGGGAGGAAGGAAGGGAGGGAGGAAAAAGAGAGGGAAGGACAGACTGTAGAAGCAACTTTTTTTGGTGGAGGGAGTACTGGGGATTGAACCCAGGGCCTCGTGAATACAGGGCATTATATTCCCAGCATTCATTGGCTTCATTTTCTGTTCCCCTAGTTCCATCAACTTTTTGTCATGTAGAATGAATTTATCTTGACCTATAAAAGCTATCATTTTGAATGGAGCATAACATTCCTGGTAGGCAGTAGAAGCCAAAAGAATTAAATACCTAATTCCTTTTTGTTGTTTTAAGGCAGAGTCTCATGTGGTGCAACACCTCCCAAGTGCTGGAATCACAGATGTACCCCATCATGCCTGGCTACAATGTCTTTCTAAAGTATCCTCGGGGCTGGAGAGATGGGTCAGCGGTTAAGAGCACTGACTGCTCTTGCAGAGGACTCATATTCAATTCCCAGTACAAGCTACCAACCATCCGTAACCCCAGTTCCAGGGGATCCGAGGCCTTCTTCTGACCTCCAAGGGCATTGCACAACATGAGTGCACTTACACACACTTATACACATAAAATAAAAATAATAAAATATTTTTTAAAAGAAAATATTGTCTATATTATCAATGCAATTAATTAATGATGGTTTTTCGCACCCTGACATCAAGTATCGAAAGCTCTTAAGTTCAGCAAACCTGAGTTCTGGCAAAACTGCTTAAACCTTGTATTCGTATACCCAAATACGTTCAATAAACTGAGAAGAGCGAAAAAGGGAAACAGTAATGATCAAGTCAACACTTCCTACATCAAAACCAAGACAACATGGATCCAAGGAAGTTACCTGCTAAATATTTTAAAAATAAAATTTCCAAGCTGGGTGTGTGGTGGTGCACGCCTTTAATCCAACACTCAGGAGGTAGAGGCAGGTGATCTCTGCGGTGAGGCCAACCTGGTCTACATAACAATTTTCAGGCCAGTTGGGCCTACAGGAAGATCCTGTCTTAGAAAGACAAAACATGGCTTGGCATGGTGGCACACACCTTTAGTCCCAGCACTTGGGAGGCAGAGGCAGGCAGATCTCTTTGAGCTCAAGGCCAGCCTGGTCTACAAAGTGAGATCTAGGCCAGCTGGGGCTACAGGGAGACCCTGTCTCAAAAAGACAAAAAAAAGGAAAAAGGAAAAAGAAAAAAAAGACAAAACATAAATAAGTAAAAATAAAATTTCTAGTCATACATGGTGGCACATATCTGTAATCCCAGCATTTAACAAGGCAGAGGCGAGGAGATTGTGAGTTGGAGGGCTAACCTGGCTATGTACCTGACTCAAAAAATAAAAACTCAATTAAATTTACATTAGAGGGGTGGCAAGATGACTCATCAGGTAAGATGCCTGCAATCAAGTCTGAAAAGCTGACCCACATGGTAGAAGCAGAGAACAGACTCCCATTACTTGTCCTCTGACCTCACACTCCTGGCATGGCACATGCACAACCCACACATACACAATCACATACAGAATAATTTTTGTTGGTTTTGCCTTTTTGGTTTTTGAGATTGGGCCTCACTGTATATTCCTGTCTGGCCTGGAGCTCTCTATGTAGACCAGGCTGGGCCCCATCCCAGAGATTCACCTGCCTCTGCTTCCTGAGTACTGGGATTAAAGGTGTGCCCAGCCAGAATAATCTTTTTAATTTAGATGATAAAATAAGATTATGCTAGAGATTCTTTACAACCTTAGCTTTCAGAACTTTGAATTTCAAAATGCATAGAAAACTAGCACAAACTACTAACTGAGCTCTTACCAGGCCTGGTGTGGTGTCCTCATCACTGCTCTCCATATCCCCACTGGGAGTCACCAAATCTGAACTGCTCTTGTGTTCCAGCTTGTTACTTTCAGTATAAGTATCCAGGGATGACTTTTGCACAGTTAATTCTCTCTTTGGAGTTAAAAATTCTCTGCAATTTTTCTTTAGTTTAGTCTTCTTACACACCACTACATTGTTAGAATTCTTTGCTAATAGGGATTTGGACAATTTAGGTGGGTCTAATTTATAATTACTGAGCGAAAAGGGAGAAAGATAAACCTTGATTGCTTTTCCTAAAGTTGTAGTCTGTATTGGTTTCAGAGTCGTATAAGCAAGGTTTTCATTTTCTTTATATTCATTCACCTATTCGTGAGAAAAAGGAAGAGAAAATTAGGACTCCCAGGTCCCATGCTCTTCCCTACAAAACACCCAACAAATGTGTATAACTATATCTAATTCTTATTTACAACGACAGCAAAATTCAAATTGATTACCTACTTAGGAAATTTATTTCCCACTCCAAAATCTCTATATAAAATACACTAAGCTGAACGGAATTACTGATTCTACTAAGCGCATTTTTTGGCCCATGAGTTTGTAAATGTGGCGATTAAATTACTCACTCCAATAGTTGTCTTCGGATTAGATAGAATTGGTTAAAGCTGACAAGAACTCCAGCAAAAGCAAATGCAGGGAACAAGAGATTTTACCTTTATTTCTAGAGTAGTTAAGAAACCTTTAATCCCAACACTCCGGAGGAGGCAGAGGCAGGCGGATCTCTGAGTTCGAAGCCAGTCTGGTCTACATAGCGAGTTCCAGGTCAGCTGGAGATGCAGGGAGACCCTGTCTCAAAAACCCACTTTCTTCAAGCGTTAGGGGCCTAACTTTGCTTTAACAAACACCGCAGGAGCCGCGGCTTTTCCTGCGCGCCAAGTGCCAGCCCTAGCGGATCGCTCCTAGAAGTCAGGAGGACTCGAGAGCGTCGACCGCCGTCTCACCTGAACCTCAGGACACTGTTTGGAGCCCGCCCTTCCCTCAGCCTCTGCGATCGGCCAAGACATCTTTCCGCCACTCAGCAGCTGATGTCTTCGCGCCAAAACTGCGCGGGACTAGGCGAGACAGACTCGGGTTTGTGGGCGGGGCCTCGAACTAGCGGGGGGGGGGGCTCGGTTGTGGGCGGAGCTTTGCTGGGCCGGCTAGGGTTGTGAGCGAAGCTCTGGCTGGCGGCATGGGACCTCAGTTGTGGGCAGGGCTTTAGTGGGGCGGGCCCATGGGCGGATCCTCTGGAGCGGTGTGCAGCTGGGGGAGGAACCGCCGCGGCTGGGAAGGCGGAGCGGACTGTGCGTGGGTGCCACAGCTTATTGGTGCAGTTTTGTTGGGTTTTTTTTTGAGATAGGATCTCTCTGTAGCCCCAGCTGGCCTGGGACTCACTATGTAGACCAGGCTGGCCTTGAACTCAGAGATCTGCCTGCCTCTGCCTCCCAAGTGCTGGGATTAAAGGCGTGCGCCACCACGCCCGGCTTCAGGTCCTTTCTACAAAGAAATATGTTGAATTCCATAAATTCCAATTCACTTTTTTTTTTTAAACAAAGTCTCCCTGTTGCCCCAGCTGGCCTGGAACTCATTATGTAGACCAGTAGATCAGGCTGGCCTTGATTTCAGAGATTTGCCCATCTCTGCCTCCTGAATTCTGGGATTAACGGCGTCCGCCACCATGGTCCCCCTCATAGACTTTCTCTCTCTTTCTCTCTCTCGCTCTCTCTCTCTCTCTCTCTCTCTCTCTCTCTCTCTCTCTCTCTTTGGAGACAGGGTCTGACTATGTAGCTTAGCTGACCTGGAACTCGCTGTGTAGCCCAGGCTGGCTTCCAAAACGCGACCATTGTCCGGTCTCAGCCTCCCAGATGTTGGGATTACAAGTGAGTCAGGCGTCCAGTTCACTCTTCTGAGCTCTCCACAAGGTGCACACAGCCCCTCACTGGCGTCTCCATTTCTTCAAAACAACGTAACAAATGAACCTTTCATTTGAGCCTCCCAGAGGGACTCCAAATCCCAGGGCGGGAGAAATGCCAGCAATTTGGGCATATTACAGACCGGCGGTTTAAAAGGAGGCTCTCAGAGGTCCTCCAAATTCCCACAATCCTCCCGTTGCATACTTCCGGTTTCTCTAGCTCCGCTTTAGTGGTTTCCGTCGGCCGCGCAGAGACGGCGGAGGTCGGTGGAACGCGGCATCCTGCTCCTGTCGTCTTCACTGTTGGGGGTCAGTCGAGTTTGGGGCATCTCCGCCGCAGCCGTCATCATGTCGGTCCCTAGCGCACTCATGAAGCAACCACCCATCCAGTCCACGGCCGGGGCCGTCCCGGTTCGCAATGAGAAAGGTACCGTGCTCACCCCTCTTCCAATTGGATCTTACCTGTCGGAGCCTCAGTATCCCTAAACCTGTCATAGCAGCCCCGCTGACCCTCAAGGCCTAGCTTTAATTTCTTCTCTCCGCCCCCCATATTCGCACCCGGTCCCAATAACTAAAATGTGGTGGGGGATCCACTTCATCTATCTAATCATCTTCCTGTTACCTGTTCGCTCATATACAGCAAGCACGCCTCTTCCTTTGACTCCCATTAATTTCTTTAATATATGCAGTGAATGGCTGTTTGCAGATGATACGCCGAATACCGTTCCTCTTGTTATCCATAGCCGAGTGTTTATGCTACTTTTAAAATTCTTTGTCAGTTACTGTAATGTTTATGTCTGTCTCCCCCTACTAAAGCACAAGCTCCTAACCTCATTGAGGTGGGTGCAGTGACTGTGCTTATTAAATTTAATACAAAGTTGTTTAAGACAGTGCCCTTAACTTTACGGAATACAGGAGTTCTAGTGGATGCAGAGGCACATCCCCAAGCAGAGAAAGGATCATCACCTCAGATTGGACTAATCAAGGGAAACCCACCCCTGGAAAGGGGTAAATCCAAGTATTGCACCTGCTAGGCAAGTTCTAATACTGAGTGACATCCTCAGCCCAAAGAAAACTCAAAAAAGATGGAATTTAATTTGATCCTTAGAGGGCGGATAAGAGTTCAGTGAGTGTAGATGAGGAACATTATACCTATTTAAGGAGTTAGGGTCTCATTATGTGTCCCCAGCTGCCCTGGAACTTGCTGTGTAAACCATGCTGACCTCAAACTCACAGAGATCTGCCTGCCTGAGTGCTGGGGTTAAAGGCATACACCTGCACACCTGCTCTTTTTTTATTTATCTTTTTTATTTACTTATTTAATTTTTGGTTCTGAAGATTGAATGAGCTACAGCCCCAACCCTTCGTTTTCTTTGGTCAACGTGGCTTTTTTTTCCCCTCAATGTATATTTTTTATTTATTGAGTTTTTGTGCATTTCATACAATACATCTTAATCATATTTAAACCTCCCTCCCCCATTTACACCCCCCCATAGCCTGCTCCACCAGATTTCATGTATTCTGTCATATATGTTAAGGCCTATCAAGTCAAGTTAGTGTACCAAGATGTCTCTCAGAACAAGTTCATCCACTGGGGTCTAGTCAGCCTATCACTCCCTTAAAGAAAATCAACTTTCCCTCACCCAGCAATAATCAGCTGCCAATAGCACCTTGGTTAAGGTTGGAGCCTGCTGCTCATTTCCCCAGTTCTATGTTCAATTTTTGTCTGATTGAGTCAGCATAGGTCTTATGCATGCTGTCGCCATTGCTACAAATTCAAAAGAGCAAGTTCTCAGAGGCCGGGAAGCCTTTCTTTCCTTAATGATCATGCACCAGCCCTGGCTCTTAACAATCTTTCTACCTCTTCTACAATGGGCCCTAAGCTGTGGGTGGGTGTGGTGTTATAAAGGAGTTCTATCCAGGGACACGCACTCTGTAGTTTCTTTTTTTGCCGGGGGGGGGGGGGTTGGTTGTTGAGACAGGGTCTCCCTGTATCTCCAGCTGGCCTGGAACTCATTATATAGACCAGGCTGCCTTGAACTCACAGAGATCTGCCTGCCTCTGCCTCCTGAGTTCTGGGATTAAAGGTATGTGCCACCACACCTGCCTATAGTCTCTTATTCTCTATGTTTTAACCAGTTGTGGCTTTTTCTATGCATCACATTATGTTACATAAGGAAACTTCACTGATGAGAGTTGAGAGATGCATTAGTATTCTCTCTACACCCTGTTCCACTATGTTCCATGAACCTTAGATGTAGAGGCTCCACTGTTGATAAGTCACTTAAGGCTGGGCATCACTCAAGCACTTACTCTGCGTGTGACCAGTTGTGGAACTCTGTAATAGTCTCCCTCAACATGACTTTTAATAATCATCTTTTGGTGGCTGGAGAGCTGGCTCAGTAGTTAAGAGCACTGGCTGCTTTTGCAGAGGACCCGAGTTCATTTTGAAGCACCTACATGGCAGCTAGCAACTATCTATAACTCCAGTTCCAGAGGATCTAGCCCACTCTTCTGATTTCTGTGAACATTGCACACATGTGCACTTACATGCATTGTAGACAAAATACATAAAATAAACTTTTTTTTTTTTTTTTTGAGACAGGGTCTCTCTGTAGGCCCAGCAGTCCTGGAACTTACTATGCAGACCAGGCTGGCCTTGAACTCACAAAGATCCACCTGCCTCTGCCTCCCGAGTGCTGGGATTAAAGGCGTGCGCCACCATGCCTGGCCAATTATACAATTTTCAAAACTTCGCCCAATCTGGGTCAACGAGATGGCCCAGCAGTTAAAAGCACTAACTGAATTTTTTCTTTTTCTTTTCTTTTTTTTGTTACAAGTTAATGGGTATGAAATAGCACTACATCATTTTAATTTACATTTCCCTGGTTACTAGTGGTAATGAATGTTTTCTTCATATATTTTTAGAAGCTCCATAGGTTTTCTTTTCTATGAATTAACTATTCTGTCAACTTACATTTTGTTGTGCTTTTTTTAAAAAATTACATTTATTTGTTTGTGTGTGTACACATGCCATGGAGGGCTCATAGAGGTCAGAAGACAACTTGACCCCACATGGTTCCAGGGATTAAACTCTCAAGTCACAGGCTTGTTGTCAATCACCATTTGCCCACTGAGCTATCTCACTGGCCCTAGACCTTGAACTTGTAATCCTTCCTGCAAAAGATGTGTTTTTCAGGACTGGAGAGATGGCTCTACAGTTAAGAGCATGGGCTACTCATCCAAAGGACCTGAGTTCAGTTCCCAGGACCCACACAGTGGCCAACAACCATCTTTAACTCCAGTTCCAGGGAATTCAACTCTCTCTTCTGGCTTCTGTGGATTTTTAAAAGATATGTTTTATTATTTTTCAGCCAGGCATGGTGGTACATACCTATAATCTCAACAACTGGGTGGCAGAGGCAGGTGGATCTCTGAGATTGAGGAAGGCCCCTGAGTTAACTTCTGACCTCTCCACCTGCACACATCTGCATACACATGCTTAAGTGGTATTTTGCTTTATGTTTCCACTTAAATCACTCTTGCTAATGGGCCAATAATAAGCACATTAAATAAAAGATTTGTTTAATAAGGGTATTGTTGAGGTGGTGCAGCATGAATTTATAGGGGTCCTTTCTGCTATTTTACTGCTCACATTCCTCTACTGCATTGTCCCAAGGTAAGCCTCAGTGTCTTAGTGTTCATGTTCATAATGCCTCCTCTTGCCTTGATCTTTATAGGAAAGCACCATTAAATGAATATGTAGCTGGGTAGTGGCTGTCATATCCTGCTTAGATTCCTGTCCACTGGGTATACAGACTATTCCTACAAAGGCCAAAGATTGAAGGAAATTGGGAGAGAATACTGAAACATAAGTTTTCTTTTTTGCTCAGGTGAAATTTCAATGGAAAAAGTGAAGGTAAAACGTTATGTGTCCGGAAAGAGGCCAGATTATGCCCCTATGGAGTCCTCAGATGAGGAGGATGAAGAATTTCAGTTCATTAAGAAAGCTAAAGAACAAGAAGCAGAGCCCGAGGAACAGGAAGAGGACTCATCTAGTGACCCCCGACTGCGACGGTTACAGAACCGTATTAGTGAAGATGTGGAAGAACGGTAATGACAAGGCTTATGTTTCCCTGAACTCTTACCTCTACTGATGAATTAATAATAATGATAGTAGCTAATACTTGACTAGTACTCAGAGCCATATATACTCTTCCTAATAGATTCTGTTTGCTAATTCTTAATATCTTTATACTACTATCCCTAGTGTACAAGTGAGGAAACTATGACACCAAAAAAAAAAAGAGAGAGATAGTAGAAATCAGAGCATTGTGGGGCTGGAGAGATGGCTCAGCAGTTAAGAGCACTGATTGCTCTTCCAGTGGACCCAGGTTTGAGTCCTAGCACCCACATGGCAACTAACAACCATCCATAACTCTAGTTCCAGGGAATTCGACACCCTCTTCTGTCCTTCATGAGCTTTGCACGACACTGGTACACTTACATACATGCAAACAAAACACTCGTACACATAAAATAAAAATTTTTTTTTGTCTTTTTGAAACAGGGTCTCCCAGTAGCCCCAGCTGGCCTGGAACTCACTATGTAGACCAGGCTGGCCTCGAGCTCACAGAGATCCGCCCGCCTCTGCCTCCCTAGTGCTGGGACTAAAGGCGTGTGCCACCATGCCCAGCTAAAAGTATATTTTTTTAAATGTAAAAATGGACTAGAGAGATGGCCCAGTGGTTAAGAGTATTGACTGCTCTTGCAGAGGACCTGGGTCCGATTCCCAGCACCCACATGGCGGCTACGAACTGTCCTTAACTCCAGTTCCAGGGGAATCCAAAGCTCTCTTCTGACCTCCATGGCATTGCACGACATGGGTGCACTCACATACATGCAGGCAATATACTCATACACATAAAATAAAAATAATAAAATTTTAAAAAATGTTTTTAAAAAGGGGTTTAAAAAAATTTCTTTTAAACAGCCAGGTATGGTTACACATGCCTTTAATCCCAGCACTGGGGAGGCAGAGGCAAGGAGATTTGTGAGTTCAAGGCCAGCCTGGTCTACATAGTGAGTTCCAGGACAGCAGGGGCTACAGAGAGACCCTGTCTCAAAAGAGACAAAAAAAAAAAAAAAGAGACTGTCTCAAAACAAAAAAAGACTTCAGTATTAATGAAAGTAAATACAGTTTTAAGATGCTGTGCAACTAGGGAAATGTGGTTGATGCTCCTTTATTTTATGAGGATGATGTTACACTCGGAGATTCTGCTTTTCAGATTGGCTCGGCATCGGAAAATAGTGGAACCTGAAGTGGTAGGAGAAAGTGACTCAGAAGTAGAAGGAGATGCTTGGCACATGGAACGAGAAGATAGCAGTGAAGAAGAGGAAGAAGAAATTGATGATGAGGTATGAGAAAGGAAAATGGGAGGGTTTTTTCCTAGATACAAGAAAATTTTGTTCTAATGCTCATTTTTGGAGGCTATAAAGGCACAAGATTTCCTGCTTTTGGCAGAACACTGATATGTTTCCTTTGGGGGTAAGATTGAAAATGAAATGCTGACTTGTACTTACTCCTATCAGAAGTTGGTGAGCTTGAAGGCGAAATAAAAGCCCATCCTAGGTGCTGAGGATGTAGCTTAGTAGTAAGTAGGGCTTGGACCTGAATAATAAATGTATGCTTTGGCAGGAAATAGAGCGGCGCCGTGGCATGATGCGTCAGCGTGCACAGGAGAGGAAAAATGAAGAGATGGAAGTCATGGAAGTGGAAGATGAAGGACGTTCTGGGGAGGAGTCAGAATCAGAGTCTGAATATGAGGAGTATACAGACAGTGAAGATGAGATGGAGCCTCGCCTTAAGCCTGTCTTTATTCGAAAGTAAGTATCTGGCTGGCCAGGTCTATAATCCTAGCTAGGCCTATAATCTAGTAGGCTGAGGCAAGAGGATTGCTAGTTCAAGGCCAGCCTGAGCTACAGAATGAGTTCAAAGCCGGCCTTGGCAACTTTAATTTCAAGCCAGGGTCAGAAATCCACATAGTTCTGTTTTAGGTCAACAGTAAAAGGCTCCTTATCCCATGTTCTTCTGAAATGTGATCACTAAGTGAAAATCTTCTTCCCAGTGCTCTGGTCCTGCACTATAGGTGCTAAGAAATAGCATGGTGTTAGCAGAAAGTCTGACCTGGTTTGCACACCTCCCTTTCCCATTAGAAAGTATACATTTGTCTAAGGGTGGTATGTGTGTGTTTTGAGACAGGGTGTGCTATATAGCCTAAGCTGTTTTAAAATTCACTGTGAGGCCCATACTGGCTTCACTTAAAATCTTCTTGCTTCAGCTTCCTAAGTGCTGGGATTACAAGTATGTGCCACCATGCCTGGCTTATCAATTTTGGTGAATTTTTTTTATTTTGTTTTTGTGGTACTAGGGATGAAATCCCTACACATACTAGAAAAATTCTGTAACACTAAACTGCATCAGCAGGCAAGATTATGTTGTAAGCACAAAATTAATCTTTAAAAAATTTCTGGGGCTGGAGAGATGACTCAGCAATTAAGAGCACTGACTGACCTGGTAATACACCCCTGTGATCCCCACTGTTAAGGATGCTGAGATAGGGTGTGCCAAGTTCAAGGCCAGACTTGTCTACAGAGTGAATTCAAGGCCAAGTTCGACAACTTAATGAGATCCTGTATCAAAATTTAAAACAGTGGGGCTGTCTTTTTGAGATAGGGTCTCCCTGTAGCCCCAGCTGACCTGGAACTCTATATAGACCAGGTTGGCCTTGAACTCATAGAAGTCCACCTGCCTCTGCCTCCTGAGTGCTGGGATAAAAGGCATGAGCCAGCACGTTCAGCTCATGAACATATCATCGTATACTCACATCATACAATAAAAAGAGCTGAGGATATAATTCGGGATTCAATTCCTATTACCAAGAAAGGAGAAGAAGCCCTGCGGTATGGGGATAGATAACAACTCAGTTGGTAGAGTACTTGGCCGGTTACACATGGTGGTAATTGCTTATAATCCCAACACTCTGGAAGGTTGTGACAAGAGGATTGCCAGGAGTTTGAGACCAGCCAGAGTTGCATAAAAATAAAATGAAGGGGCTGGAGAGATGGCTCAGCAGTTAAGAACACTAGTTGTTCTTACAGAAGACCCGGGTTCAAATCCCAGCACCCATATGGCAACTAACAACTGTCCATAACTCCAATCCCAGGGGATCCGACAGCCTCTTCTGACCTCCGCAGGCATTGCACGACATTGGGTGCACTTACCTACATGCAGGCATGTACACATTCATAAAATTTTTTAAAAATAATAATATAGCTGGGCGTGGTGGCACACGCCTTTAATCCCAGCACTTGGGAGGCAGAGGGAGGTGGATCTCTGTGAGTTCAAGGCCAGCCTGGTCTACATAGTTCCAGGACAGCTGGGGTTACAGGGAGACCCTGTCTCAAAAAGACCAAAAAAAAAAAAAAGATAATATATTTAAAATATAATAATAATATAAAAAATTAATAATGAAAAAAATTTAATTTAAGAAAAGTTAAAATGCCAGGAATATACCTTGTTTAGTGAGTGAAAAGTCTAGGTTCAGTTCTGACCTGAGATGACTCCCAATTTGGGCTTTGTCTTATTTGGATGAGACTAGATCTGGAGGGCAACTTTCTACTCTAAGAATTTTGGGCAATTAACAGGACCTCTGTGATGCAGGAAGGACCGAGTGACAGTTCAAGAACGTGAAGCCGAAGCACTGAAACAAAAGGAACTGGAGCAGGAAGCAAAACGTATGGCTGAAGAGAGGCGCAAGTACACACTAAAGGTACTGCAAGTAGTTGTGGATTGAGTGCTTGCCGGTGTGCAGTTGGGTTTGTTTACAGATGAAGGAAGCTCAATAGCTGAGTTGTTTTCCTTACCTAGATTGTAGAAGAGGAGACCAAGAAAGAGTTGGAGGAGAACAAGCGATCACTTGCTGCACTAGATGCTCTCAATACTGATGATGAAAATGATGAGGAGGAATATGAAGCATGGAAAGTGCGAGAACTAAAAAGAATCAAGAGGGACAGAGAAGACCGAGAAGCGTGAGTAATGGGATGGGCTTAGGGCTAATGCCTCTAATGGCACAGGTTTCTAGGATGGTAACTCTCTGAGACCCATCAGTTATAGAACCTATTACGAGTTCTATTCTTGGTTTCTTTAGGATTCTTGGCAGCTGAGTAAGTTTTCCTTAATCAGAATGCTTCTCTTATTTATGGTGAAGTCAGGGAACAGAAGCACTTACTTTCTGTTTATCTGTGAGAGTGCCAGCTGACATCCCTTTAGTTTCTATTGCAACTCAAAGTTGAGTAGCTTAAAATACCAGTTTTATATTTCTCTCAATTTTGGAGGTTGACTGAATGGTTCTTTAGTAGTTTCTGCAGGGTTTACCTATGTAGTGCCTTCAGCTAGAGAATCGACTGTGCTAGAAAGTCCAGAAGACAGGCTGGGTGTAGTGGCACATGCCTTTAATCCCAGCACTCGGGAGGCAGAGGCAGGTGGATCTCTGGGAGTTTGAGGCCAGCCTAGTCTACAAAGAGAGTTCCAGGCTAGCTGGGGCTACAGGGAGACCCTTTCTTAATAAGATCAAAAAAAGAAGAGGCTGGGCGTGGTGGCACATACCTATAATCCCAGCACTTGGGAGGCAGAGGCAGGTGGATCTCTGTGAGTTTGAGGCCAGCCTGGTCTACATAGTGAGTTCCAGGACAGTTGGGGCTACAGGGAGACCCTGTCTCAAAAGGCCAAAAAAAAAAAAAGGAAGAAAGTTCAGAAGACCTTCCCTCCTCCACTGTTGTCCAGTACTTGATGATAGCTCCAGATTGTATATTCACTTCTTAGGTTCTGGCTTCTGCACATGTTGTCTCAGGGCAGAGGTAGAAGCCAGCAAGATCTCCTGAGTCTTAAATTGCAGAACTAATACATCATTTCTATAGCTTGTTTATAATTAGTCAGCAAGTTACCTTGAAAAAGGGACATACATACTGTGAGGGAAGAGGAGCATGAATATCTTGAAGGGGAGAATTTGTGGCATTTAAAAGCTGCTTCACTCACCATGTTAAAGCAGGTTCATTTCTGAGCTGCTAACCCATTCTTGTAAACGACTAGGTATGAGAGCGTAATCCCAGATTACAAAGAGAAACCATTAGTAGATAACTGACTTTTTTTTTTTTTTGGTCTTTTTGAGACAGGGTCTCTCTGTAGCCCCAGCTGTCCTGAAACTCACTATGTAGACCAGGCTGGCCTTGAACTCACAGAGAGCCGCCTGCCTCTACCTCCCAAGTGCTGGAATTAAAGGCCTGCGCCACCACGCCCGGCATAACTGACTTTTTTTTTTTTTTTGGTCTTTTTGAGACAGGGTCTCCCTGTAGCCCCAGCTGTCCTGGATTCACTATGGAGACCAGGCTGGTCTCGAACTCACAGAGATCCGCCTGCCTCTGCCTCCCAAGTGCTGGGATTGGGATTAAAGGCGTGCGCCACCATGCCCAGCATAACTGACTTTTTTAATCTTAAGATTTACTTCTTAGTTTTGGTTGGTTGCTTGGTTGGTTGCCTGTTGGTTTTTTGAGATAGGATCTCCCGGTAGCTTCACCTGTCCTGGATCCCCCTATATAGACCAGACTGGGCTAGATCTCTGCAGTGCTGGGACTAAAAGGCATGCATCACCATACATGGCAACTTTTTTTATTTTATTTTATGCATATGAGTGTATTGCCTGCATGTATGTTAGTGCACCCATGTCATGAAATGCTGTGGAGGTCAGAAGAGGGCTTCGGATTCCCCTGGAACTGGAGTTAAGGACAGTTTACAGCTGCCATGTGGGTGCTGGGAATCAAACCCGGGTCCTCTGCAAGAGCAGTCAGTGCTCTTAACCGCTGAGCCTTCTCTCCAGCCCTCCAGCCCCCACATGGGAACTT